CCACGAAAATATTTTAAAGCTCATCCACTCTCTATTCCCGTCACCGTCTTCTTTCCGATTCCCACAATGACCCCGATCTTAGACTTCTCCCTCCTGTTTTTCACTTGCATCGGTATCTTTGTAGTTTTTTGGTATACATGGACATACTTCAAATCCAAGAAGGGAACCTCAAAACTGCCGCCTGGACCTCCTGGCCTCCCTTTCTTAGGGACCTGCCATTCCTTGAGCCGGAGCTTCACACCTACTTCGCCGCCTTGGCTCGCAAATATGGCCCGGTTGTCAAGCTCCAACTAGGAACCAAGATTGGCATCCTGATCACCTCCCCTACCATGGCCCGTGAAGTCCTCAAAGACCAAGACATCACGTTTGCAAACCGCGACATGCCCGTTGTAGCAAAACCAGTGTCCTACGGGGGTTCTAACATCATTTGGAACCCTTACGGACCTGAGTGGCAGATGTTGAGGAAGGTCACTGTAGTCAAGATGCTGAGCAACACGACTTTGGACTCTGTTTACTCGCTTCGGCGCAGGGATGTCTGGGAAACCGTGGCTTATATCTACAGTCGAGTCGGGTCACCGGTTAATATTTGGGACCAACTGTTTCTGACCATATTGAATGTGCTTACGGGCATGTATGGGGTGGAACGGTGCAGGGCGACGATAGGGCTGCAGTGGGGGCGGAGTTCCGGGAGGCGATCTCCGACGTCACCGAGCTTTTGGGTTTGCCCAATGTTTCGGATTTCTTCCCTGCTCTGGCCCGGTTTGATTTGCAGGGCCTGGGGAAACGGATGGGGAAGCTGGTGATGAAGTTCGATACTATCTTTGATAGGATAATTGACCAGCGGCTGAAGAGTGTATTAAGACAGAAACTTGAGAATAAAACTGATATCTTTTATTCACAGAATTGAGTATCCTATATACACAAGGTTTGCAGTTATTTATGGAAATTAAAGATATACAATAATAGAAAATATATACAAATAAGTGTGATTGATATCCTGCATATAATGCTGATTATATTTGCTATAATTAGTGCAAATTCACGAGCCAGATTCATGAGCTGTGTTGACAAGATGTGTTTCCATAACACGCCCCCGCAAGATAGAGCTACCATCGGTAACGCCAATCTTGCATTTCAGCTGAGAGAACTGCCGCAAGGATAAAGGCTTGGTAAAACCATAAGCTAGCTAATCAACAGTAGAGATGTGACTGACCCATAGAAGCTTCCGATCCACCAACTCACGGACAAAATGAAGATCAATGGCAATATGTTTCATACGAGTGTGCATGACTGAATTGCTACTAAGATGAGTAGCACCAACATTGTCACAGTACACCGCCGAAGGAGAAGAAACAGGATGCCCCAACTCACAAAGAAGATGGCAAACCCACATAACTTCAGAGGATACAGCAGCTAGAGCACGGTACTCGGCCTCTATTGAGCTGCGGGCAACCATTTTCTATTTACAAGCCTTCCAAGAGATCAGATTGCTACCCAAGAACACAATAAAGCCAATGGTTGACCGAAGGGTATCCTTGTCACCGACCCAATCAAAGTCGGAAAAGGCATGGAGAGGGAACAGAGGCTGCCGACGCAGAAGAAGACCATGAAAAACAAAGCCCTTGAGATAGCAAAAAACACGCTTGGCAGCTTGCATATGGACATCAGAAGGGGCATGGAGAAACTAAGAAAGACGATTAACTGCGAAAGTAATGTCCGGTCTTGTGAGATTAAGATATTGCAATGAGCCAACAAGACGCCGGTATGGAAAAGGATCCAAGAGTTTGAGCCCTTGGTGCAATTGAAGAGGAGTTGTAGCCATTGGGGAGGAAACTAGTTTAGCCTCAGCCATGCCAAACTTATCCAGTAGGTCACAAATATATTGAGCCTGAGAGAGAAAAAGGCCTGCAGGAGTGAAGATAGCATTAACTCCCAAAAAATAAGTAAGGGAACCAAGGTCTTTGATAGAGAATGTGTTGCTGATCAATTGAATCAAAGAATCAACCAACTGTGGATTGCTGCCGGTCACAATGATTTCATCGACATAAACCAGAAAGTATAAGCAATCAGACCCATTGCGATAGATAAAAAGAGATGTATCTGAGCGAGAATTATGGAACCCATGAGAGAGTAAAAAGCTTTTCAACTCTTGAAACCATGTGTGAGGAGCCTGTTTGAGGCCATAGATAGACTTCCGAAGCAGGCAAACATGCAAAGGTAGACTAGCATCAATGAACCCGGGTGGTTGAGCAATAAACAAGTCTTCCTCAAGCTTTCCATGGAGAAAAGCATTGTTAACATCTAATTGCCGAATAGACCAATTCTGAGTGATTGCCAAAGAGAGAACAACCCGAATAGTAACAGGTTTAATAACAGGGCTAAAAGTGTTAAAGTAATCAAAACCAGGCCTTTGATGAAATCCTTTAGCCACAAGACGAGCTTTAAACCGTTCAACCCTGCCTTCCTTATTCCATTTAACCCGGAATACCCACTTGCAACCAATCACATGTTGATAGGCATTAGGTGGAACCAACTCCCAAGTGCCTTGGTGAACCAAAGCATTAAACTCATCAGACATAGCCTGACGCCATTGAGGATGTTTCAAAGCTTGACTAACACAAGTGGGCTCTAAGGGTGGATCAATGGGATGTTTAGTTGCAGTGAATAAGGTTTTGGGTTTGAAAATATTGTGTTGAGATTTAGTAGTCATGCCATGAGTCCGAGAAGGGATAGGAGGCGGGTTTGGTGCTGGAGGCGAGGTGTGAGGTGAGTCGGAGTGGGGAGAAATGGAACTGGCCTGGGAATGGCTAGGTGTTGGTTGTGTGACAGGAGAGGAAGGCAAGGTTCTGGTGGATGCAGGTTCGAGATCGAAAGAAAGGCTAGAGGTGGAATTAGATGAGGGTGAAAAAGGAGCTAATGGTGTCGGGGATGAGTCACCTATCGGGGAAACAGGGGAAGGGACAAGATCAGAGACTGAGGTAGAAAAGGATGGAGGGTTGAGAAAGCTTACCTGATTAACAACTATGGAGGCCGCACTAGGGACTGCTGCTTGAGGGCCAAATTCAGATGATGGCGAAGCACCAACAATGGATGGGTCGACTGCAACAGAAGGTGTCTTGTGAAAAAAGAAGTTGTGCTCATCAAAACAAACATGACAAGAGACAAAAATTTTCCCAGTAAAGGGATCAAAGCATTTATACCCAAGATGATCAACGGAATAACCGAGAAAAACACATTTTCGAGAACGAGGTTGTAGTTTATTAGAATTATAAGGACATAACCATGGATAACAAGTGCAACCAAAAATCCGAAGTTTAAGATAATTGGGTTTGAGATGAAACAATTTTTCAAAAGGGGAGATATTTGTAGGTCCGGGAAGGCGATTAATAAGATATACAGCAGTTGTGAAGGCATGACTCCAAAAACGTGGAGAAAGTAAGGCAGCCTGTAATAGTGTTAGACCGGTTTCAACAATGTGGCGATTCCTACGTTCACTAATCCCATTTAATTCTAGTGTGTAAGGTGGGGTAGTAAAGTGTGAGATGCCAGTTTTTTGGAAGAAATCACGTAAAGCAAGATATTCCCCACCAACATAAGAATAAAAAGATTTGATTGTGCTACCAAATTGATTTTCAACTAAAGTACAAAATTTTGGAAAAATTATGGCAACTTCAGATTTTCGTTTAATAGGAAAGATCCAAATATACCGACTAAATAAATCAACAAAAATCACATAATAAAGGAAGCCATCAATAGACATAGAAGGAGTTGGGCCCCAAACATCTGAAAAAATTATTTCTAAAGGCTTATTACTTGAAATAAAGGAGGCTCCAAAAGGCAACTTGTGACTTTTGGCACAGAAACACAGCTCACACAAAGAAGATCTAGATTTATTAGAAAGGGGTAAAGGAACACTGTTAATAATTTTATTTAGAGTTTTTGATGAAGGATGTCCCAATCTTGCATGCCAATCCAAGGGGGATATTCTTTCACCAATTAGCGCCATCGGACTTAATTTATTTGGATTTTGAAGGGGTAGACGATACACGCCATGCTAATTGGGCCCTCAAAGAAGCGTCGCCCCCATAGTTCGATCCTTCACAAGAAAATAATCAAGATGAAACTCAACCAACACATTATTATTTTGACATAATTTGGAAACCGAAATCAAGTTACGTGAGGCATGAGGTACACACAAAACATTTTTTAAGGTTAAAGGCTTAGAGTTGCTTAATAGTGTGGTGTGACCCACATGTGAGATAGTCAAACCTGATCCATCA